GGGGGGGGAGGAGTGGGTGGAACAGGAGCCCCCGGCCTGGCTGGCGAGACGGAGCATGGCCTGTGTCCAGTTGTGGACCTGGGCTCCCCAAGGCAAGTAGGTTCTGTCCTGAGCTCTTGATGGCAAGAGGAGGGGGTCATGAGTCTCTGCTGTGTGATCTGGGCTTTGTGTCTGATAGTAGCTCAACCCACAAAGGGATCCAAAGAGTTTTGGTCACATCTGACCCTATGTTGACTTTCCTTCCTGTCTCCGTATTTTTGCCCTGATTGTCCCCCTGCCTGCTGGGCTTCTGTCCATCCACTCAGCTTGTCCAAATCACTCTATTCTTTCTGCCTCATGCATGGATTTCTCCATGGAGACAGACACACAGTTTAAATGTTGGTTTTCTTCCCTCTCTCTAAACTCAACTGGAAGGTTAAGAGTGGGTTCTGGGACCCTCCGGAAAGCCGCCAGAGAAATCCTCTATTTAACACAACCTGTGGGCTGTTCTATGCTACAGTGAGCTCCCTGTTCTTGCAGAGCATGCACCCTGGGCTGGTGAGCTCCCTGCTGGGTCTGGGGTCCCCCCTGCCCCCCTCTTACCAATGATGTGCAGGCTCCCGTTCCTCAGCTGACCTCCGGGCTGCGGAGTTGGGGTCCAGCCTGGGGCCTGTTGGCTCCTGCTCGAAAGCTCCGTGGTGGGTGATCTTGCAGGGGGCACTGGGGGTGGATTTAGCTTCCCCCCGCTGGTCCCTGACAGAGAAGATGATGGTGGATTCAGATACAGGAATGAATGGGGACAGCCGATGCTATAAGCTTCTGTGAGGGGTGAGGGATTGAGACCTTCGGATCTAATACGACACGGTGAGTAGAAGGGAGCCCCTGGAGCCAACCTGCTTGGGACTGAATCCCAGTTCTCCCACTGGGATAGTAACACGACCTCTTTGTACCTCAGTTCTCTCATCTGTCAGATAGGAATAATAATAGTACACACATCTCCTAGAGTTGTGGAGTTAAATGAGCTGTTTAAGTCAAGTCGCATGCAGTAAGGGCTCAATAAGTGTTAGCTGCTGCGATAACCTCAGTGACAAGTACAACCTCAGTGACAAGGACAACCTCATCATCAGATGGTACAGCTCCCAAAAGGGAAACCACTGCAGAGCCCTAAGAAAGGGAAGGGCTGTGTGTAGGTGAGGCTCAGGGGGAGGCCAGGTGAACAGCTGTCGGGGGCTCGCTCCTGCCCCGTTTCTGTTCACACTGTTCCCCTGCACTGCAGACCCTCGTTTCTCCTGCCAATCTAAATCCACCCGCCCACAGGGCCCAACTCACACCCCACCCTCCTCATCGCACCCTCCCTGATGACCTCTGGGGGAGGCTCTCTCTCCTTTACCAAAACTTTTCTGTCTGACTCCCTGGGCAGCTAACACCTGCTGTCTCCCACACCAGGGCGGGCAGGTGTTCTGCATCCCGCACCACAAGGTGATGACCATGCTCCGCCAATACTGTGCCAAGGTGTTCACAGTTACAACCGCTTTCTCTCACCCCAGAGAGAGGAAGTAAAACACAGCCAAATATGACAGTTTTAATCCCTGGATGATGTTATTATAGGTGATTTAAATTCCTTTCTAGGCCCGGCCGGGCGTGGCTCAGTGGTTGAGCGTCGACCTAGGATCCAGGCGATCGGGGTTCGATTCCCGGTCAGGGCACATGCCCGGGTTGTGGGCTCGATCAATGACCCTCTCATCATTGATGTTTCTGTCTCTCTCTCTCCCTCTCCTTTCCTCTCTCTGAAATCAATAAAGATATATTAAAAAAAAGAAAATTCCTTTCTATTTGCTCTGCAATGAGCTTGTATTATTTTTAACGCAAGGAAAGACATTTAGAAAACTTTATGCATCAAAGGATTTTCTAAAAGACCAAGGAATATGTGTATAAGTGTGGACGTGTGTTGGGGTGTGTGTGTTGTTAAAAATAATTTTGGGGAGTTTATGAGTGTGCTCTCATGCATGGATGAGTGTGCAGACGGGTGGGTGTGCTTCCCATCAGGAGGACACCAAAAGTAAATGGAGCCGTTTACTACCCGGACATCAGTCCTGGGGCGTGCATGCTCAATCCAACATCACCGCTGCTGCGTAGGTGAAGGAATTATCCTTAACACTTGGCTGAAAAGGCAGACCCTCAGTTTTCTTGAGTCAGCAGGAGAACCTGCCAAAACAAGGCAGAATGCTAATCCCATCCACCGAGGGCCTGTGAACATCGTGGCTGGGAGCCAGGCTGTAAAAACTCAGGAAAAATTCAACAGGACAGCTGGATCTGAACCAAATGCATCCACGGCCCGTCCACCCCAGGGAGTAGGTTTGGGGTCTGAAGGGCGATGGTGAGAAGAAAGAACCCTCCTCTAGATCTCCCAGTTGCCAGGCCCTGTTCCAACAACTGCCTGAGGGGGGAGCTATTGCTACTCTCATCTTACAGGGAGGAGCCGGAAGCACAGAGAGGCTGAGATTGCCCAGGGTCACACAGCGAGGAAAGGCCAGGCGACTGAGGCCAGAACCCCCGGTTTTGGTCTGCGTGACCTTGGACAGGTCTTCCCGCTCCCTCCATCCTGGTTTTCTGTCTCTAACATTAATACCTGTGACAATAAGTCCCACAAGTCTTTCTTGCTCTCCACAGGGGCACTGAATAGGTCTGTTCTAAACCAAAATCCCATCAGTTAGGACATCCTGAGGTATTGCCAAGTGGCTCACAGGAGCAGGCCTCTGGCTGAGGCCCTGGCACCTCCACAATTGCTGGCAACGTCAAGTGGTCCTCAGA